AAGCCAGTGGTTGGCTTTGATCCAAAAAGTCCACTCCCAAAGCCCACTGACGGAGCTGACGTAGTTGCTGTAGCAGTGGAAGAACCCAGAGTTCCAAAATTAAGTCCACCTGTTGAGCTATTACAGAACAAGACTGTTAGCAATTAGTTTTTCGAAAGAAAAATCCAACCTCCCCTGATTTCTGTTTCTTTCCCATACCATCATTGTCCTGATCAGTCAGAACACAGCAGAGCAGGACAGAGTCAGAGCTCACTCTCACCAAGGAGGAATCCACCTCCCTCCCTCTCCTTCGGCTATCTAGCTTCTACTGCTTCCATGATGCTGACTCCAGCATCTGTTGAACTCGTTGCTACCTGCCTGATACATCCCGATAAAACAGCCAAAAACTTGCCATTTAGTTTCCTATTATTTCCCCTGAACTACTGGAAGCAGCAAACAAATGCTAGAGCCAGACCAAAGATGACAAACCATCAGGAACATCTTTTCAAAGTAACTTACAAGCCCAGTTCGATCCCTCTGCCCAGAAACATCAACCAAAGCTACTTCACTCTGAAGCAATAAGCACGTAGACAGGCATCTGACCACATCAACAGCACAACTTGGGTCTGTCTTATCACCGAGAAACACAGATGCAAGAATTAGTTTTCTAACCAAAACGCTCTCCTCTTCCACACACACCAATGGCAGGTGATCCATATCAATGTTTTGTGCGCTTTCTTTTCTGAAAACACACTGTGCAATCCAATCCAACCAGTGAAATAAACTTCCTGAACTATTTGCACAAATTAAGGGGAAGAGAGTGGAAAGAAAGAGGAGAAACTCAGAGCCCAGCGATAACAAGAAAATTAACAGCTCTTTTTTTTTTTTAATAGAAACTTCATGGCAAATACAGGCCAAGCCACGTTTTGCAGAGAATGCATTAAGTTATAGCACAAAACACGTGGGGGATTACAGTTATCTGTAACCTGTGAAATCACAGGTACTAAGAGCCAGATGTGTCTAAGGCTTAAGAACTTGAATTCTTAGACTGATGAAAGATGAGGTGAGTCATTTATTTGTAGTAACTTCTGGTTTCCATTTTGAACCCCTTAGGAAGCTTGAGAAGTTTTCTTGAATTTAGACATTTTGTATAGACTACAGCAGTAGCACTGAAATAAAACCTAATTCAGATTTCAGCGCAGCAGTTGTTAAAAACTACTTGAGGTTTCAGATGTTCAATACTGTTCCCTCTTTTCTTTCTGTATGAATGCAGTTCTGCGTAACAAATTAATCACAAGAGCTGATCTTTAAGAAAAAGAAGACTATCATAGGCTTCTACATTAAAAGTTGGCAGTATCTACACCCTGGCAACCTGGCAAGTCCAGTAAAAGTTGGTGCAAGTTCTAAATCTTGGTGTTGAGTGATCCTTAAAGGTAAATAATTCAGGAAACAGGCACCAAGAAGATCAGAAGGACAAAACCAATCAACTGTCCAACTCCATAGGAGCCAAAGTATTTCAGTTTTCTTTACTCTCAGAATTTCAGCATACTAAACTGCAGCAGCATGACCTAACTGCTTATCACCCTATATATATATATATACACAATATGATGCTTCTTTCACTGGTTGCAAGCTTGCTTCTCATCTTTTCCCGGTATAGGCTAAGAGGACTTTTCAATTTACTTTTTTCATGTTTCAACAGTCCAGTAGAAGAAAGCTAAGGTCCAAAATATGCACTTCAATACAGTGGGACAAAAAAAAAAGAAAAAAAGAGAAACAATAACAACAACAACACTGTAAATAAAGTCTATTTAAATATGAATTAATATAGAAGTAAACCAGTGGCAGTATGAGAAATCACAGACCAGAGTATTATTTACTCCCTGCAGCTGGGAGGATGAGGAGTTCAGCTCACTTAAATCTCAACTCTAACTTCAGAGCTAGAACAACGCACTTCACCGGGCTAACGCATGCTATAGAGAATACTGACAAACAATAAAGACCTTAAAAACCTCAACTGCTAGTGGCTTAATGCAGGAATTACATAGGCTGCCATACCATATAGGCTTTATGCCATCAGAATATTACCTGATAGGCCACGCTGCTCGGTAATACTTATGCTTGGACTAAAGAGCAAAGCCCCCTTTCTTCCAGCACCTGGCAATGCTGCCTCAGCTGAGAAGAGGCCCAGCTTCTGCTTACAGTCTCAAACTGGTTCTCAAGCAAACCATCCCCCAGGGATGCTTCGGATTCTTTTACAAACCATCCAGCAGTGACAAGGCCTCTTCCTCTGTGATACTCCTTGATCAACAGCCCTGAAGACTCATCCTACTTGTAGAAATAAATATATGAATAAAAATGCAGAGTATCATATTTGCTATTAATTAGCTTCTATTACATTTTAACTTACTTTTTATGGATTAAAAAAGGCAGCCAAAAGAGAGAAAAAAATAAAAAAAAATTCAAATTCCATGGGTAGTGTGTACCCAAATCAACACCCCGAAAGAAATTATCTTGTTTCAAGCAGTATATTTAAAATAGTGCTTCTGAATAATGCAGGTTTCCTATGATTAAAATTAAAGTTTTTTCTTTTTAACAGGCATGAGACAAAAGCAACTTAAGTTCTTTCCAGAGTTTACGTAAAAGCTTCACTGTGGGGAAGAAAAAATGCACACAGGAAACAAAAATATCATTAACCTGTCCTGACTGGACTATTAAGAGTATCAGAAGAAACTCAGAAGACTTGCCCCCTCCCATATGGGCTTCCAAAAAGCAATGCTGCCCTTTAATCCAGAGATACTCTCTGATCCAGATGTAGCTCCCTTCCCACTAGTTCCTGCCAAATCCTACAGATAGGTATTTTGAAATGTACCTACTTCAGGTGAAGTAGCAGCCCTGCCCATTCCGTTTACATTACTGTGATTTTTGCCTGATAAGATTTGGTAGACCTCCAAAAATTTGTAAAGTGCCCCAAAGCTCCATTGTAAGCATCCTAATCTTCAACACAGGCATAACAACAAGCAGGTCAGGAAGAATATGGGCTAGTGCAGGTGTGTGAAGAAAGAAAACACAACACTATTATTCTGTAAAACATGAATATTGCTTTTAGCACAGAGCCTGCTATATCACGTGTAGATCAAAGCCCAGCACCACAGTTTCCTTTCTGCTACAAGACACAAGCACCAAATGGAGGACTGTGACAGAAGGGAACTTGGAAATAACTTAGAAACAGACCCGGAACTTGGCGTTTGAACATCACACACTCAGACTGTGCCACACACACCTCCTCAGGCCGCTTGCTTACAGCTAGGCACGTGTGGGATTCATCTTTTGTGTTCAGGATAAAAAAAAAAAAAAAAACACAAATCTGGTCCAACCATCTCCTTACTACCAAGTGTCACCACTAAGCCATGTCCCCAAGCACCACGTCCAACCTCTCCTTGAACACCCCCAGGGACGGTGACTCCACCACCTCCCTGGGCAACCCGTCCCAGTGCCTGACTGCTCTTTCTGAGCAGAAATGTCTCCTCATTGCCAACCTGAACCTCCCCTGGCGCAGCTTGAGGCCATTCCCTCTGGTCCTATCACTGGTTACCTGTGAGCAGAGGCCGACCCCCAGCTCCCCACAGCTTCCTTTCAGGCAGTTCAGGGAGCACCGAGCTCCCCCCGACCCCCTCCCCCAGCCCCCACAGGCTGCCCCCCACACCCTGTACCCCCCATACCCCCCACCCCCCCCCCCCCCCCATGAGCCCCACCCGTTACCCCACAGGGACGCGGAGGGGGCTCCGCGTTACCTCGGCGTGGCGGCTCCGAAGGAAAACCCCCCGCCTCCTCCTCCAGCTCCTCCTGCCCCGGCTGCGGCGGCCGTGGCGGAGCCCAAGGTGCCGGCGCCGAAGGAGAACCCCGCGGACATGGCGGGGGGGAGCGGCGGCGGGGCCCGAGCCCGGCAGCGGCTGCAACGGCCACGCTCCCTCCGCGCGCCCGCCGCAAGGCACCACGGGAAACGGCGTCCCGGCCACGGCCGCCCTTAAAGCGGCGGCGCCCGGCCGCGGAGAGTCCCCTCCCCTCCCCCAGTTATCCCCTAATTTAGGAAATAACCGAATAAGAAGCGCGATGTGTATAGCGTTTACTACAGCTTTTAAGCTGTTTTAGCGAGTTTTTTAGTTATTTATTGTATAACTGCTGCTCTGTGTTGCGTGTTACTTCGTTCTGTTGCTGTTGCCCATAGGTTCCTGCCTGCTGTGCCTCACCGACAGCCACACACGAGTCAGAATCCACGTAAAGATCTTTTAATTAAACACTGTATAATTATTATAACTCTACAGAATCAAGGATCAGCCCCAAACTCTTCACAGTCCCCTTCTGCCAGGGAGGAGTACATTGGAACAGGCTGCCCAGGGAGGTGGTGGAGTCACCATCCCTGGAGGTCTTTAAAAGACGTTTAGATGTAGAGCTTAGGGATATGGTTTAGTGGGGACTGTTAGTGTTAGGTCAGAGGTTGGACTCGATGATCTTGAGGTCTCTTCCAACCTAGAAATTCTGTGATTCTGTGACTACAAGGGAGTTCCCCTGTGGGAATATAAGTGTTGTTTTTGCAGTTACGTTGTTTGGAAGGAGGGAATGTATTGGGGGGGAATGTATTGAGGAGGGAATGTATTGAGCGCCATGCATTGTTTGTGAAGCATCAGATGGATTGTGAACCTGGATTACCCGCTCAGTGGGGAAACAGGGGAGGGCCCTGTTATCACAAAGTATATAAACTGTGTTTTGGAACTAGTAGGCGCGCTCTCCTGCTTGTGGGGCGCCCGCCATTGCAATCGCGAACAAATTACTGCTTCACTGGGATCCCCGCCTGCGCCCCTCCGCTCCCCCCTCAGCCTCCCCAAAATGGCGCCGCCCCTGGCGGCCACCCCAAAATGGCGCCGCCCCCTGGCGGCGCATGCGCGCTGCGGGCTCTGCCCCCCCCCCCGCTGACCAATAGGGGGCGCCGCAGGGAGCTCGCGCTGCCGCGGCCCCGCCCCGGAAGCGTTTCTAAGGCGACGCCCGGCCCGGCGGCGGCAGTTGGGGGAGGGCGGCGGGTGGTGGCTGACGGGGCTACGCTGCGCCGTCATGGAGCACATCCGCACCACCAAGGTACGGGGGGCAGCCGACGGGGGACGGGGTGGCGGCGCTGCCGGCCTTGGGGCGGTCGCTGTGGGGGTGTTGGGGCCCGTTGTGGTTCTGTTCTGCCGCTGCCAGCCGCGGGTGAGGGCGTTGCGGCCGGCTCCGCCGCCGGTACCTTCTGCCTGCCCCTCCTGAGGGGCTCTGAGGCGGGCGGCGCTGCTCGGGGCGTCCCCATGGGGGTGGCTTGAGTGCCCCGGGGGGGTTTTGGGGTTCCCCTCAGGCTTAGGGTTCCCCTTGGGTGCTGTTAGTTCTATGGGGCCCGGTTCGGTTCCTCCTGGGGTGACAGGGCTTGGGGGAAGGCAGGGGCTGAGCATAAGGATGGGGGCCTGAGCAATTTGGGGGCCACGGCTCTGCTGTGCTCGGGTGTTGTCCCTGGCTTTGGGGGCAGAGCCTCTGTGAAAAGTGCTTTTTTTTTTTTTTTTTAATTAACGATTGATTTGTAGGGTCATTAATATAAGCCATCAGTAGATACGTGGTTTATTAGGGTATTCTGAAAAATTAGTCAAGCTGCAATTGATGTTCTAGACTCTTCTACTTTATTTTTAGCTTATTAGCTTCTTTCCTTTATAATGAAGAAAGTACAAGTCTTATCAACTCCTTCTGTAAATCAGCTTATATAAGATTTTTTTTTAAAGTTTCAGTTCTTACATAATCATGTTTTAACAGTATTTCTCTTGTCAGTCCTGACTGCAAAGGCTGCTGAAAAGGCCGTTCCTCTATTTGATTGTGCCTTGGAAATGACTGAGCAATTAGCTCCATGACCTGGCAGCCTGACTGCAATCAAGTTTTATAGGTGTGTGGAGGAGAGGAGTGGTTAGATTCCAATAAACTTACAATCAATAATTAAATAAAGGAACTGGCTTTTATGATTTTTTTTAATTCTTTTGTATAGTTTAGCTATTTTTTTTAATATATATTTACATGCATAAGTAATGCTAGAGGAAGGTCTCTCTCAAAGATGTTCTTAGTGCCATTTTGGTGTATTGGATGGAAGTATCTTGTACCAAGGTGACAGATTAGGGATAAGGTTTCTTTATCAGCCCACTTAAAAACTTGGAACTCCTTATTTGTAAACAATATTATTACAGTCAATCATTGGTATCAGAATTAAAAACTAGACTAAATGCGAAATATCTTCATGATCTGAATAGATACTTAAGTTTCAAAACTGAAATTGAGACCATAAATGTTGGCAGGTTGATGATATCTTTATGTTGTGCTTGTGCATGGCTTTGGGCACCTGCTAAGAAAACCCTTCATGTAGCAATAGAACTCTCTGAAGGGAAAAACAAGCACTGCAGCCAAGTTTTAAGGTCTTGGTCCTGTCCTGGTTTCAGCTAGGATAGAGTTAATTTGCACCATACCAGCTACTAGGAGGAAAATTAACTCTATCCTAGCTGAAACCAGGGCAAGGACTTCAAATTGCTTCAAGTAATATAAATCATACCCCCAACAACTCTGTTTAAAGTGATGGATTAATGGCTAAAAATAACCTGAGATCTTCATTAGAATCATGATGCTTATTTTTTTTAAAGCTTATAGGTTATTGGATATCCAGGTAGATTAAAATGCATATATGCTAGTTTGTAATAACTTTGAATATTGCAGTTATAGGAAGCAGGATAACTAAAGCACAGCCTGTGCTAGGTACCATGCAAGATCCCTGCATGTGTAGGTTTGAATTGGACCCCATTCGGACTGGCAGGAGACATGCACGTTTTCTAATCTGTCTGCTCTTGACAGTTTTTCAATTTATTTTACTGAAGAAATATTGAAACAAGCATGAAATAACAGTGCAGTCTTGCACAAATTGACTGCTGTGCAAGGAAGCTGTCATCCCACAGAAGGTGTTGAAATAGATTTTATTTTTTCTCTAACTCCATTTGATGGAAATGTTGAAGTTGTAGAACTGTTGGCACGGCTACCTGAAGAGTTTAGCTGCTTATGAAATTAAACTGTCCAACAAACTTATGTTGAACAAAGAAGTAAGGTCAATGTGAAATTCATAAATGATAAAGTGATTTTTATACTTAAGTAGTAACAGATGCTGAAAAACACATCACAATATCATAAATTGTGTGTGTGTGGGGGGGGGGGAATTACAAATGAGGAAAAAATTGCTTCTGTGATGGAGCTTTAGAAATGAAGCGTCCTAAAAATATTTTAAAGAAAAATGTGGTAGATAAGACTGGGATTTCTTCAGTCAAATCTGTTTGTAAACTTGAGGTCATCTGTTAGTGGAAATGCTGATGGGTTTTCCAGCAGAGGTGGAAGTTTGGGATTCAGTAGTCAAGCTCAGTCAAATGTGAGTCTGCCAGGCTGAGGATTAGATGGGGAAGGGGACAGCTCCTTCCGATTTAAAGGGATATCTTATAAGGCTCTAATAAGAGTCTTGAAATGTGATAATTCCTCTCCTCAACGTAGATTAACTATTGCATGGAGGGCAACAGGAGTTTGAATGCCTGGATTTTGTGGGCTGCATTTCTGTAACAAACCTGCAGGTCTGTGCACTTCTCAGTTTGCAGGGAGGTGCAGGCAGAACTGCCCAAAACAAATTGCAGATTTTGACAGTGCTGTATTGGTTATGGTGCTTTGTATGTAGCACGGATACCTTGCTGATTACAGGGTAACATTTCAAGGTACAAATACATGTAACTTCATTTTTCTCCTTTCCAAACTGAAATCCAGAATATTACAGCAGCACTGGCTGCTAGCAGATACTCACATTTCCTCCATTCTGTTTGGATGCCTTACATTGCTTTTCTAATTTTCAAAAACAAAGTTAGGCCTTGCCAGATTGCGAGAAATACCTAACTGAAAGGATAATTTTGTAGTGTTTTATCTATACTTTCACCAGATAAATAGGTTTGTACATGTTAATTAACAGCCAGTCTAACATCAGCGCTGCAAATGTGGACTCAGATTTGGGTGCTGGCCTTGCTGGTGGGAAAGTTTCTGGAGTTCAGCTGTGAATATAATGGTGGTAGCATCAAGCTTCCAGCAAAACGGCTTTAAATTGGCACTAATGAGCCCGTGCTGCCAAGAAATACAGGAATGCACAGAGATAAGCCATTCACCACGGTCCTTTCCTGTTGTTGCACACACTGAGTCATGTAATGTTTGCCTCAAATAAAGTAAACTGTGGAGCCTGTAATGTTATGAGCACCAGATAAAATGCAGGCTATCTAGAAACTGCTTGATTCTGAAATGCTTTTCCATAGGATTGAGATAATAATGTTGATGGAACAGGAGAGAATAGAGGAGAAAATCTGCCCTTGGAAGACTCAAGCTTGAAATCTTGATGTTTCAAATGCCAGCACAGTCCTTGAATTTAAAGGAGATTGTTTCTAATTATTACTGTAGTGCTCGCATTTCATCAAAGTTGATTTTAATGGTGAGGCAAGGTTGTTATAATGCAGATTTAAGATTGGGGACGACACAAATAGCAGTAGATATCTAAAAGTAAAGTCAGGAGAGTTAATCTTTATGTCTGTGGTGAGGATACAGATAGGTTCTTCTCCAAACAGCTATCAGATGAGTTGTTAATTCAATGCTGGCATGTAAATAACAGGAAACTGTTAGTGCGTGTGCTTGCTGTGCTTTGGGGCAGCAGTCTGAAAGTTTTTAGTAATTCAACTTTTTCTTTAAAGCCTAATACCTTGGTGTCTTTTACTATTAAATAACCATATTATGAATACGGACTAAGCAGTCTGCTGAACCTAGTCTTGTCACTTCATTGTGTGCTTTCCTATTGATACAGGATATTTTTAATGGTCATTCTGCACAAGCTTATGTGACCACAAGTGTGTTCTTAATAGTTCGGACGGAATAGCCTTGTGTGCTGTATTATGTTCTATCATTTTTTAAATTACTGCGCAAACTGACAGAGCTTTTTCTTGAGTTGTGATTTTTACTTTGTGTTTAAGGAAAAAAAAATAAATTTTGCTTTCTCCCACTTCTTTCTTACAGGTAGAGCAAGTGAAATTACTGGATAGGTTCAGCACCAGCAACAAGTCTCTGACAGGAACTCTGTACCTTACAGCAACTCATCTGTTATTCATAGATTCAAGCAGGAGGGAGACTTGGGTAAGCATATCAAATGCTTGTGGCTCAAAAGCACAGGTTCTTCAGATACATTTGTTCTTCCTGATCTGAGGTTGAATTTGTTTGCTAAAATGTTTAATGTAAAAGTTATTCCCTGTTATCTGCTTGTTTGTGATATAATAAGTTAATGACTCACAGCTCCTGCTCTTGTATGACACCTTTGCCATTGAAATTGGATAATGTTGAAAATAACTTCCACTTTTCTGAGTTGCTGTTATTTCTTCTATTGCTTGTTTTCCTGAACAAATGCTTTTTTTAACATCTGACTTGCACTGCAGTTCAGAGGAAGGAACGGGAGATTGTTAGATAATTTAATGCAGAAATATTCAACCTAGAGCTTAGCTTTGCCTTCCATTTATGTCTTGCCGAAGTTAAATGAGATGACAAAATCCAAAGATCTAGGCTTGGTGATTCCATGCACTTTTTTAGAGTGGTAAAAATGGCTTTATTCTGAAGATACATACTTCAAAACAAAAGAGTTCAGAAGGGGCTGCAGATTCTTGATGACTGTGCCCATTGTACCAGCCAACTTCACTTGTACAACACTAACACCTTCTTTTTTTTTTTTTTTTGCCCCATTCCCTGGTGTACATAAAGTTCTGGCTTCCATTGTAGCACAGCTGTCTGTCTGAGTGCAGTGCCTTCAAGGGTGCTGTGCTTCTCTAGGATTAAATCTCATTTGGGCTTAATTTTTTTTCTGTAGGTGAAACTTCTTGCACTTAATCTTATACCCTGGTTGTCTGATGAGATGTCTTGTGGTGCTTACAATAAAATATTTTTTCAGTGATTCGGATACAGTCTACAACTTTGTGCAAAACAGCTATCCTCTCACATGGGAGGAACTATTGAGGAGAATGTGATTCAGAAGCATTATTTGTATCTCCCAGTGTGCTGCTTTAAAAGATTGTACTTCAGTGATATCAAACCTGTATTTTGAATACTGCATTTGTGGTGATAGCACAAGTAGTGAGTATAATTATGATAACGTCTCTCTTCAGGATATAGTCTCTCTGTAAATGCATATTTGGCAGCATAGTTTTCAGATGCCTAATTCTGATCAATATTTAAGAGGAGATGATTGCTTCAGTGAGGTAATTGAAATGCTTTTGAGAGCATCTTGTTCAGCTGAGGTAATGTGTCAGTGGCTTTCTTCCTGTGGTTGAACAGCTGTTACTTTCTCCTGCATTTTCCCAAACTTTGTGTAGATTTGCCACAGATGTCCATTACTGTGACAGTCTTTTGTTATATTGGTTGAAAGGCACTTAGCTATGACTGTGATGTCTACATCAGCACAATGGATAACACAGGAGAGGTTTTTGTTATCTCCTGTTCATTCTATATCCCTGTGAGCAGTCTGAGTTGTCTCAAGTTGTACTCTTGGCTCGAATACTAGCAGACTGATTAAAATAAATGACTGATGCATAAAATATTTAATGTGAGCTTCTCTGATAGGAAAAAGAAAACGTAATTCTAAAATTTTCACTACTTGCTTTCCCTGACTCACTCTCTTTTGCCTGATAAAATTCTGCTCCTGTAGATCCTTTTTAAAAAAAAAAGACAACTTATTTGGACCCTGCCTAATAGCATGTAGGCTGGTCAGTTAGCAAAGCTGTGGAAAAGGATCAGAATGACCCCAGTGGAGTTCTATTTCTTGATTTCTGCATTTAAAAGTATACTCATCTTTTTTATAAAGATTAGGTGACAGTTTAATTATTTTTTCCCCTCATATTTTAAACTTTAACAGATCATGGTATCTTGACCAAAACTTGGATTTCTTATTTTTTATGAGAAAATCAGTCAAAATCCATATTCAGTACAGGCTAATCTGTCTTATGTCAGATGTTGTATATGGTGCGTTTTTCTCATTTTTTCATCTTCATGCTTACACTGAGTTCTTGTATGTAGATATTACATCATCACATTGCTGCAGTGGAAAAACTTCCTTTGACTACTTCTGGCTGCCCCCTTGTCATCCAGTGCAAGAACTTCAGGATAGTTCACTTTGTTGTTCCCAGAGAGAGAGATTGTCATGATGTTTATAACTCTTTGCTTCAGCTGTCGAGAACAGGTGAGACTTCAAACTGGAAAAGGCTTTGTACTATGTATCTGGGTACTAAGTTGGTGAGAAACTGCATGCTTTATTTTTTTGTGAAATGTACATTATGTAAAAGCCTTTTCAATGGGTTAGATGTGTCAAAGAATTTTATTAATAATGGAGTATTAATCTATATGTAGATTCAGAAAATGTCTGGCTTTTGTAGTTCACTGATCTTGTTTAAGAGTGCAAGGTTCCTATAGATTCAGCATTTCGAGCATTAGCCTCAGAATTGTGAATTGAAGTGTGTATTATCATTTTAATGATGTGTTCCATATTTAAAATGCTATTAAACAAGTACTAATTTGTTACTGTTTTCATGCAATTCCAAAAAACAAGCTGAAGCTTTGACGCTAAAACAACACTAACTTAAGTGACAGAATTTTCTTGTAAATCTAATGTGGCCTCTTGCATTCTTTTGTGTCTAGACCACTGTAAAATGTTGTCATCTGTCATGTGAGAAGTATTAGAAAAAATAAGAGAATATTTTGAAAGCTTTTTTGGTTTGAAGGAAACTTTTACCTTGCTTTGAATAATCAGTAGACTTATATTTCTGTTCTTACTTTTAAAGATATCTGTTCTTTTGGTTCTTGTGAATCTCTTTCAATAACTTGCTATTTTGTCAGTCTTAGTTTTGTGACCTTTGCTTTGCCCTAATGACTTAAATGTCTCTCCTGGTACAAGAGGTCAGGCTCTCTTCCCTGAAAGATTTTATAACCTACCTTTAAATATCTGCAGTTGCAGAATAAATATTTTAAGAATGCCAAGTATCTAATCACTCTGAGAATCTTAAAGCCTGAAACTTCTGTGGTTCAGGCAACTTTAAGGTTTGTCAACTGTGCTACCTCTTCCACCAATGCATTTTTGGAGGCAGTTCATTATATAGTCTTATTTTTCTTTACCTTTTTAGCAAAATATGAAGAACTGTATGCCTTCTCTTATAATCCAAAGCAAAATGAATCTGAGCAAGTCAAAGGTTGGCAGCTTATTGATCTAGCAGAAGAATATAAGAGAATGGGAGTGCCAAATGATTACTGGCAGTTGTCTGATGCAAATCGTGATTATAAGGTAAGGACTGTAGTGGAGAAATGTTCTACTCTACATCTGTTTTTGCTTTATCCTCTGGCTCTAGCCCTACAGAAAGCAGTCTGATGCTATGCAATCACTTGGCTTGCAGCATAAGCAAAACTTGCAGGTGGAGAGAATTAACTCCTTAATCAGACAGTCTCACAACTTTCGAATGGAAGCTTTTCTTCCATGCTTCACTGAGGGTGTATGTGCATTGAATTTTCTTTTTGGGTATACTTACCTACTTGAAACCCAGTCCCAACTATTCTGGTGCTCTGCTGCTTTGCTCTCCTCTCTTAACTGAGAGGGATTCTGCATTACGTTCTGTAGTGCTGACTGAGAAAGATGATGGCTGTGGTGGTGCAGCTGATTTCCAGATAAGATTTCATCTTTGTAGTCTGCAAATAAAAAAAAGTGATGGAAATACTGAGACTATTTTACTTGAAACATATGCTCAGCAGTTCTACTGAAAACTCTTTCTTAAGGTGAATGCTACTACAGTGGTGCTTTCCAGCAGTAACTGGTTGTATCACTTTGACACCAATTTGTACTTTTTTATTCATGGTTTATCTCTTCTGAGATATTTTTATGTATATAGAGAGTTATGTTGGTGTTTACCCTTTGTCTTTTATTTCCTTATAAAAATAGTGTAGGGTTATGTATCTCATGCTAGGTTTGTACCCTTTGTGCATATATATATCTATGTGTATGTGTCTTTCAGATTTGTGAAACCTATCCTAGAGATCTTTATGTTCCCAGAACTGCAAGCAAGCCCATAATTGTTGGTAGCTCCAAGTTCAGAAGCAAAGGAAGATTCCCGGTGTTGTCCTATTATCATAAGGAAAAAAAGGTATTGTTTTTCTTCCTGCAAATGGGCTGAAATTTTTCAACATTTGCTGGTAGCTCAGGGTGCATGAGGTAATTGTATGCCTTACAATGTGAGGTGTACAATTTAAGTACACTGACTTGAATGAAAACAGTATCTATAACCCACGATAACCCTAAATACAGCTCACAGTAGCAGTGTCTAACAAGATGCTGAATAAAGCTAAGCCGGTTTAAAAGAAATCCTCAAGTAATCAGTTGAATCTCTTAAAGCTTTCAGAAACTGACCTTAAGATCAAGATGAAATGTCAGTTGACAAAAATCTATCTTGATAAATGAAAAATAAAATCTGTCAAAGTGTGTGTGTGGTGGGGTGTAAAATAAAAAACACTCAAAATAACTCATTGACTGAGGAGGAATTTGCAAGGTGTAAAGAACTAGTGAATAAAAATAGATTTTGCAAGGTTTGATTAAACAGTGGTGTGAAGCAACTTCACCCTGTCTCTTCCATCACTGAAGGGAAAGCAGGATTGTCATCTTGCTGAGTTGAAGAATTTTTGAAGGATGAATATTAAACTAGTAGATGCATTTGAAGATAACTCCTAATTAGAAAATGTACCTGACACCCTCTCAAATGTAATACATCATTGAAAATAACATGGCAAAAACTACTTCAGGCTGTAACATATTACACCTAAAAATAGTAAAACTAAGCATAATTTATTTTTCATCAGGAGCAATTTGCTTTTAACTGAAAAGTTAAGTGAATTTTTTTTTCCGCCTGTACTTTGCATTTTTATACTTAAGAAAATTGTGAACTACCTTGTCATTGTAGATAAGCCTGAAAAAGTTGTAGGCACTATCTTAGTCTAAGCAATCGTGCTTAAAAAGTTGGAACACTTATGCTTTTTTGAGTTGAAGTGATGTGTCAAATGAAATGAATTATGTAGGTGTCTTAAAATTAAGGAAGGTGCTTTATAGATACTAAACTGATGTTAACTTGTCTTTTGTATTCTATCATAGGCTGCGATTTGCAGATGCAGTCAGCCTCTCTCAGGTTTCAGTGCCAGGTGCCTGGAAGATGAGCACATGTTGCAAGCAATCAGTAAAGCAAATCCCTCAAATCGCTACATGTATGTCATGGACACCAGGCCAAAGGTATGTACTTCTAGAGGTTTTTCAGACTAGTCTCTCTTCCTGAACATCAAAAGACTGAGATAACTCTTAATATTTCCAAATTACATGTTAAATATTTTGGCCCAATATAAACATTCTATAAAGGTAGAACTATAGGTATCACTATTCAAGTGGTCAAGTGCTTGCTTTCTTGAAGAAGTTGAACCACTATCAAGACAAATCTAAGGTCAGGCTGATGGTTGGATTTGATCTTGAAGGTCTTTTCCAACCTAAATGATTCTGTAATTCACTGAATGTTAGTAAACTTCTGGGTAGGTACATTTAAAAATATATGTAAAACACAGCTAAGAAGTGAATAGTCAGAGTGAGATCCAAGCACTTTTTACTGTTAGGAATTAAGTTTATGAAGTAGTGAGCTGTGCTGGAGGTTGTTCTAGAACAGAAGGAAGGACAGTGGCTTGTGTAAATGTTGCGTGAAAACTATTAGTGCTGTCTGTATTAAACAGGAAGAGGTAGGAGAAATTTTGTCAAAGCATTTTGAGGTCACACCTGAACATTAAGTTAAATTATGTTGGGTTTTTGACCTGTGTTGGCATATGGGAGTAACTTTCCCTTTTTTAAGCGATCTGCATTTAGATTGATATTTGTTTCATCTAAATCTCCAAATGCAGGAGCTAGAAAACAAGGTTGTAAAGCAAAAATACTGCATTGTAGAATTTACTTTGAGCAGGCTTCAGTAGGTCTGGTTGACAAGTAAAAAATTGAGCCAACTGTGGGTTTTTGTAGTTGTACGTTTTACAGCTGCAAGCAAACTTTTGTAGGATACCTAGAAAGCATATGTATGGTCAAGTCTGTGTTTTATTTACTCCTTTTTAGGGTAATCGCCTTGCGGTGTCTTTTCTCAGAAATGTTATGAAACATGTAATGGATTGTTGGTGGGTACACAGAGGAGAGAATAGGAAACTTATTAAATGCATTATTCAGATGTGTCAGTGCTGAATATAGGCCATCTGTTGCTTTCTGTGAACCATGCCTTTCTCATACTTGAATGTTTAAACTGTTAATTTATTAGAATCTATTTATAGTATGTGCTTTTGTTTTTTTCCTAATGTATTTCACTGAAATTGCTTATTTTTATTTCTTAATCTGACATTTCATTTGAAGTGCTGGTTTACGGTATTTTGATTTTTGCTCTTTAAAGCTTAATGCAATGGCAAACAGAGCTGCTGGGAAGGGCTATGAAAATGAAGACAACTACTCTAACATTAGGTTCCAGTTTGTTGGAATTGAAAACATTCATGTAATGAGATCCAGCTTACAAAAACTCTTGGAAGGTATGTTCTAACTGTATTACAACAGCATATATGAAAATAATAAATGTTCTGCTGAAGTATTTAATAACAGCTTAAACTGCATTATGACATCTGTGTTTTATCCAAGCTTTGCACCTAGTACCAGTTTGCTGTGCTCATCCATTGTGGTAATGAACAACCATTAATCTTAACAGTTTACAGTTTAAAAGCAAACTCTAAACTTTTAAACTGTAAAAAAAGTTTACTTTTAAACCGTTAACTCAGTGATGTGAGTTATTCTGAAGAAAACTGAACAGCACATGTTAGGGGTTAACTTGGTTAGTATGTCAGTGGCTTGTGGGAAAGATGAGTTTTCCAAGTATACACGTATACATACATGTATTTGTGTATGTGAATACATAAAATAACATGTATATACATGCATCTTCACATGTAGAACATTCCTCAAGGAGTACTTGTTTGCACAGAACTCATTGTAACTGCATGATCTAATGGTCTATACAAAACTTGAACTCTGTCTTGGCAAACCACTCCTATGGTTGTAGATGCATCTTGTAGAGTATTTATGTTTGGGGATGAGGGGGGAAGTGAGCCAGTTCATAGCACCACTACTTGACATAGTGTTGTGAAATTGATGAGGCAGAAGTCTTCTATTTTAATGTTTTTTTCATTAGTTCTCTTAATATTTCATTTAGGTAAACAGATGAAAACAAACTTAAGACACTTGGGAGCATTAATGCTGTGATTAAAGTATGGTGACAGAAGTCAGGTTTCTACATGTACTCCTAGTTACATATGTTTCTCTTCTATTATTTCCAGTTATTGGGAAGGCTTGCACCTGTAGGGAAGTCTCCTTTTGAAGACATTCTAGCTACCTTGGTCAAGAAGCTTTACAGATCAGCGGTGTAGTCTTAATTAGTTTTTATTGAACCCATATCTGCTGTTAACCAATTGCTCAGGCACCCTGTTAACGTAGAATGGCTTGGGTTGGAAGGAACCTTGAAGATCATCAAGTGCCATCCCCCTACCATGGGCAGGGACACCTCCCACCACACCAGGTTGCCCAAAGCCCCATCCAGCCTGGCCTTGAGCACCTCCAGGGATGGGGCATCCACAGCTTCTCTGGGCAGCCTGTGCCGGGGCCTCACCACCCTCATAGTTGAGAACTTCTTCTTAATACCTGTTCTAAACGTACTCTTTAGTTTAAATCCATTCCCTCTTGTCCTGTCACTCCACTTCCTGACAAAGAGTCCCTGCCCAGCTTTCCTCTAGGCCCCCTATAAGTATTAGAAGGCTGTAATGTGATCTGTTTGGAATTTTTTCTTCAGTCTGAACAACCCCATCTCTCTTGGCCGGTCTTTCATGGGAGAGGTGCTCCAGGCTCTTGATCACCCTCATGTCCCTCCTCTGGACTTGCTCTAACTGGTCCACATCACCTTGTGCTGGGGACCCCAGAGATGAATTGAATATAGCATTCCAGGTGGGGTTTCATGAGAGCAGAGTAGAGAGGAAGAATCGCCTGCCTTGAGGTGATAGTACTTGAGTTACAGGTTATATGTATGTGCAGGAATAGCAACAAGATACTTTATTGAAGAAAAAGACTAGCAACATGACCATGAACTTTTTTTTTGAAGTTTGGGGTAATCCCTGTTTTCTCTAATCTCTTCTTCAGTTCCAGAGAACTAGCTTATGCATCTTGATTTATTTTTTTGTCACCTGTTCTGTGTAGTAATGTCTGATGCAGAAGTATATACATCACAGTTAAACTTTGGACTTCATAACCTTTTAATTTGACATAAGCATCTGTTGGGGGATGCTATCACGTATTTTTCATAACGGCTTTCCTTACAGATGGAACACCTATCCATTTTTCCCTTGTGTGAAGGATTGACCCTGGAAGGAGATGCTGTGAAAATTGTGTTTTAAGTTGAGGAAAATGCCACTTAACTTCTGTGTGCCACCTTCCTCCTAGATGTGCTGAACTGAAAGCTCTCTAATCAGTGATAGGATACCAATGACCCTATTCTTTCAAGAGTCTTTGTAACTGGGACTGTACTCAGATTTATTTATAACAAACAACTGCTATTCTTTCTTCAGCCTGTTTCTGATCCTAGGCTCTTTGTCTATCTGCCTGGCTTCCTTCATACCCTAATGAAAGGCTTCAGAAGACATTTGTTTGCAAATTGAATATAAGACATAGTCCTTCCCAACATCTTTCACTAATGCAGGATGTTGGGGGGCTTTGTAATCTATTCTTATTCAGCTGTTTTTTTTTTTAAAGTCTCACATGCGGTGAAATAGAACTTGTTTAAAATAGTCTTCTTCAGTATAGACATGATGACTCTGTGCCCCTGATGGGCTGACTGTCCATCTGTACAACACTAATTGAAGAATCTTCACATCTGAATTTTTGGCTGTGGGGTTGAATATAGAAAATCCCATTTATTATACATTTAAAAATATAGCATTAAGTGTCTGAAAAGACTGAATTCTGATAAGCAAAAGTGTATTGCTTAAATCAGGAAGGAGCACTTCTGTAGGAAATACTTGAAGGAAAAGGCTCAATAATAGCTGCTGTTGTGGTGGAAGTGTATTAACAGTTTTTTGTGAGTTGTATTTGGAGTTCGTTTGTGTGGGGATTTTTGCTTAAAAATGACCTGTGCCCCCAACCTACCATGCTTCCTTCAGTCTCTAGGTTCTGGTTGCAGTCACCTTTTTATGCAACAGCTGCTGCCTAAGGCATTGCTGGTGTATAAGGACAATCAGCAATGGGGCAGTGAGTCATTTGGGCTCGCGTGTATGTATTTATGATCCATATAGTCAAAACTATCTTAAAGGATAGTTTTTGTGAAGTAGCTAAACAACTCAATGGTGCCAAGTTATCTTTGATCTTTCTGAGTAACATGAGGGACTAGAGTGATTATTCAGCACAGAAGTGTCCAGAGAAGTTTTAATGCAATTTCTGTGTTTCACCACTAAGTACTGGGAGGATATTTTTCAGTTTTTCCTTTATCCTAGTGGTGGACCTGCTTATGTACTGTTGTGATTTAACAAGTGTTATGGAGCAACAGGTGGAGAGAGAGTAAACGTGTGGAAGACTGAATGATTTGAGAAGATCAGGTGGTTCTTGATCTCTTCTATTTTGTAGACCTTTTAGAAGCAGAACTTTTGCTTAACAATAATTGCTGTTTTTTATCCAAATACTAGAAGAAACTAGCATAACTTTTGCTGATTTTCCTGATATTTACAGGCTGCCCTTTAATATCAGGTCTTGCTTCCAGGGGTTTCTAAGTGGTTTATTTCATTGTGCAGTGGCTTGCTAGTGCTTTTTCTAGTTAAAAATCTATGGACTCTAGAAAAAAGTACTGCAGGACTTGGAAGCTGGAAGCCTATCTTTGTTACAGCATTCAGCAGCAACCAGTGCTATGAGTCTTCCTGAGCAATAGGAAGTATACCAAAATTTGTATGGCTGAAAGCTGAGCAATGTGTCCTGTGGATACAGGAAAGCTGTAGGAGCTCGTCTCCTCCCATAGTCAGAGATAAAGGTTATTTTGCAGCTGCTGTATGAGTATCTCTACTACTAACTTCCAGCTCTGATGTCACCTTGTTTTTATCTGGGACCCACTAACTTGGCAGAAAATAGTTTTCTTGTGTGGCAGGGACAGGTATTTTTGTAGATTGCAACTTCAGGTGTATCTAAGAATCACGTGCAGAGGAAGGTAGATCAGTTACTGATCTTCCCCCAGCTCCCTTTCAGTTCCTTGTGTTTAAACAATAATGCTACTGAGAGCTGGTGCTCAAAATCCTGCATTAAAATAACTTTTTTATTAGCCAATTTTCACCTCTATACCTGTTGCTGCTATGCTGCATGACAACTTCCCTTTAATTTGAGTCCTCTTCTGTCCCCTCAATTGTTATGAGATCAAAGTACATGGGGGAAGAATGGTAGAGATCAGTCAGTATTACACTATATTAGTTCTGGAGGTAGACAAAATCTGCGTGGTCTTCAGTTCATCATTTTCTCCTTGTACTGCACTTGCTTTATTCTACTAGGCAGGGTGGAAAAGGTGATGAAACTCTCATAGTTAGGTCCAAGCAGTCAGACTGCCAATGTTGTCTGCATGCAGCTAGTTTGTTAGTAATAATAGTAATTGGTAAGTATTTCTAGTAAGCTTTTTGGCATTTTTGTCCCTTCTTGGTAAGACAAGGTTTATAACTGCGTGTAACAGGTGTAATTCAAATTTCTTGTCACAAAGATGCATCTTAATCTTGTCACTCAAGGTTTCTGTAATTCTGCAGAGCTGAGTTCTGGGCAGAGAACCTTTTGTAGTCCCTATCTCTTAACCACTTGAGTGTGGTGGTTTCCTCAAAGAGGTTTCAAATCAACTTACAACAATGAAGAGTAATTCTACGCTGTTTATAATGCACTTTCTCTGTTGTAGGGTATTATAGGTAGCTATAACTGCTTAGGGCTTTCTAACTGTTTCTTTCAGTCAGCGGCACAAAGGGTTTGTCTGTCAATGACTTCTTGTCTGGTTTGGAGAGTTCCGGATGGCTGCGTCATATCAAAGCTGTGTTGGATGCTGCTGTTTTCCTAGTCAAGGTAATTTGCATGCTGCCTCTTTGAGGGTAGCTTGTGCTATCAGGCAAAATTACACTTAATGTTGCATAAAGCATAAAACTCTGTAAATGGTTTCTCTTCTTTGCTTCCTCCCTTTTTGCAGAAAGGGAGATGTCTGAAATACACAGACACATCTGATATGTTGCTTTAAGCCTTATGTGTTTCTCTGTGGTTGGAGATATTGAATGTGCCAGCTGATACTTTATAATTTTCTTTGAATGTTGTTTGGTCACCTTGAAGAGATTGTTATGATTCTTGATTTCTTTGGATATTTGTGAAAGATGTAACCAGTTTGAAGGTAGATGAAGCCAGCTATTATTTACTATACACTGAAAAAAGGAATTTATAGGACACTAATGTCAGAGAAGATAAATTGGCTATTTCATTTACCAAGCAAACAGGACAGTTTATAAGGAATTCAAAAGCACAGTTGCATTTACCAGGTGCCTATGATGTTATGGGCTTAACATGAAAGAGGCTTGGGGGGGAAGGGAAGTAAAGAAGAAAACTGTCTTTTCAGTAGCTGAAGTAGGAAAATACTTTAGTTAAAAGTGGATGCTTTTAAAGATCAGATGATCCTCAAATATTTGGGTTAACAAAGTTAAATTTGAATAGATTTGAATTCTTAGCTGAAGCTAAAGACTATTTCCTGGTCCTTAACTTTTGAGTAATATAATGAGTAGAGAATGGGTGTTATAAAACAACCAAATAGAAAGCTAATAAACCTATTTGGTTTGTAATGTGTAGTCTGCTTCTTCCTTAGTGTTCATTGTGATGGCATTTCTAGTTTTACAAGGGGTAGAAACAGAAATGGGAACTGCTGTAGAAGTCTGTTACCTTTTGTGAAAGAGATAATGGAATTTCCTTTTGTTAATAGAGAATTTTCTGCATTTCAGTGGAGAGAAATCCCTAGATTTCTGGTAGTACCTAATATACTTTCCCATAATATTTTTCTTATATTAAATAGACTATACTCTGGGTTTTGGATAAACGTAGCTTTTGTATGCATTTACTAAAATCTGACTGAACAATCTAAACAAGAGAGCATTCATTAAAGAAATAATTATTTTGCAGGCTATAGCAGTTGAGAGTGCAAGTGTGTTAGTGCACTGCTCAGATGGCTGGGACAGGACTTCGCAAGTTTGTTCTCTTGGAGCTCTCTTACTAGATTCCTATTACAGAACAATCAAAGGATTCATGGTAAGCAAGCTGTTGTATTGTTGAATTGTTCCTTGGTAAATCAAAGGATATAAAATGTTTGAGTGTGAAAGCGAAGAGTGTAACTGTACTGATGCTATTTTGTAATTACAGATGTAAAATATGTTTTGCAGACTGCAGTTGGTCTTTAAAAATACTTGACTGTGGGGAAGAACTGTGTATTTAAAATAACCTAAGAAACTGAAATACAAACTGTTTTTCATACCCTGCAGAAATGTTGTAATAACTGTCTCTTTCATCCAAAATAAAGAAAAACTTAACTACAAAATAAAGATTCCAAAGTGCTTACATGACACAGATGTACTAAACTATACTAGCTATACATTCTTAGTATTTGTCCCAAATTAACTTCATTAAAATCTAAAAATGACATCCCCAGCCACAGTGATATAAAGACCTGAACATATTTAAGCAACTTAAATGTCTTCATCTTTCTCTAGAGGTGATCAAAGAACTTTGATATGATTATTTAAAACTTCACAGTAAGAAAATCAACTGTTTTTGCCATAGCAATGTAAGGGTTTATGGGAATACCTGAAAGTTAAAGAACAGAATTGTACTGATCACAAACTACTAACTGCTACAAAAGGTAAACTGATAAGGAATTAGATAGCTTTGATTAGACAGTGAGAATGTGTAATTGTTAGGAAACTCATACTTGTTAGGAATCTCGTTTTCTTCTTTTTCAGTCCTTCCTGTCAATTGGCATTTTGGAAAGCCTTCTGTCATAAGCATAAATACTAATAACAATCATACTAAAAACAATCATGTTTTTAGTATTTGATACTGCAACTAGTGATAAAACAAGCTACTGTTGATATTAATAGCATCTTATAGCAGTAAAATTGCTAAGATTACATTGTGTGGCTTTATGTAAACTATAATAGCAAGAATGCAATACTAAAATTTTTCACATACTTAGCAGTTAATTTTTTGAAAGTTGAGTGATAATCCATTTATGTGAATCCATTTAGGTGAAGCTGTAAAGCATTAATACGCTTAAAGTTAGCCTGGTTTAAAGGTATTTTTCTGATCGTCAACCTGTTCAACTTCTTACTAGCTTTAGAAACTAGTTTTAGAAATGTGCTTTGACAGTCTCTTGTAGGAAAACAAAAAATGCACAGTAGCAAAGAGTTGCTTCTACAGTAGTTAATTTGAAATACTGTATATATCAATAACCTGTGAGGTTAATGCTATAGATGTAAGATTTACTAAAATATTGTTAGATACTTTTGTTTTTTTTATCCTGTAGGTTCTGATAGAGAAGGACTGGATTTCTTTTGGGCACAAGTTCTCTGACAGGTAGTTTGCTCATCTGATGTTTAAAAAAAAAAGTATATGTTTACAGTGAACTGAAAGATAAATATTTCATTAAGTGATCTAAAATTTTGCATTAATATCTAGACTTATGTAGTATTACAAAGAAAGGAAAAATAGCTTGTGAATGTTAAACTACTGTATTGTTACCAGAAATTTTGCAATGGATAAGCTGTTTTCAGTTGACAATGCACTTCGTGTATTGCTATTTATTCAAATATCTATTGGGTGGTTGTTTTACAGATGTAAGTTTCTAATGTCACTGGTAACTGGTACCTCACTTTTGCATGTTGATAACTGCAGCTGGATCTGCATATATGCATAGACAGTGCAAGACAAACCCAAAGCTATCTCCCAGCCGTTGAGACAACGTAAAATACTTCTAAAGTTTTGATCTGCTTAAATGTTCACATTTACCCATACTTCTGATGATGGAATAGCTCTCTCTACCTTTAGAAGTCCTGTATGCCAATAGTTCTGTTTTTTTCTTGTTCTGAGTGTCACAAGCTATGACAACAGCCTTGCTGCTATTTCCTATTTTATAGTTTACTTTTAGCTCATGTATTTCACATGTATTTCAAATGTTGACTATGGGTGTAATAGATGTAAAGGAATTAAATTGTCTTGTGTTGCTTTTCTTTACTGAATAAAGATATCTAGCTCTTTACTGAATACAAATGTGATTACTTACAAGTCAGAAAAATAGGTTAAATTTAGGCTTATTTCTATTCATGAATTGCCCCAGCTCTTGAAGTTAGGTACTTAATTTCCAGACCAAAACTAGTGTAAGAATAGCCTGCTGTATTGAACAACAAAAACCTTAGTTGTGCTTGTTTTCAATTTCTAATCTAAGCCAGTTTCAGTCTGTTTATGGAATCTCTTTCAGGTGTTGTCAGTTGGATGGTGATCCAAAAGAGATCTCGCCAGTGTTCACTCAATTTTTAGAAAGTGTGTGGAATCTGATGGAGCAGTTTCCACAGGCCTTTGAGTACAATGAAGCTTTCCTTCTTCAGATCCATGAACATGTCCATTCGTGCCAGTTTGGAAACTTCCTTGGAAATTGCCAAAAAGAGCGAGAAGAACTAAAGTAAGCAGGGATATTGTAATGTCTACTTGCTTATTTTGGGAGACTAAGGAACTCCTGTGAATCTGCTCAATTTGGGGCTCTGAATAGAAGTAAGCTGGGAGGATTGGTAGTGTAAAAAGTGATGCTGAACTGTATCGGGGAATGGCAGTGTTTTAGCATGCAAAAGCATGAGAAGACAGTTCTTCTAATTTTGGCAGAAAATACCCTGCTCATCTTTAAAGGAAAGTCAAGGCATCTTTCTCCCTTCTTTCCTAAAAGCGGATAAAAAGAAAGTACTCCCAATTTTCTGTCTAGGGGAGGGAGCAAATGCTCCCAATTCAATCTGTTTTTAGACAACCTTAAAATTGTTGCCTGTTCAAGACTAATAGTTGTCAGTTAAAATTATTAATAGGCTGTCTCAATGCTTTCTGTTGGAAAACTTCTGGAAAGCTTTCGGTGGCTTATCTTTGTCTTAAACTATATTTAAAAAGCATTTATTGCAATGAGGCAAAACTTGCATGATATAAGGACTATTACTTCTAAAACTGGTAGTTCTATCCAACCTCAGCATATACCAGGAAGAAGTTGATTTTAATGAGAGCATTTAATTCAGTTTTATAATTGTTTCTGATGACATCTTTAAATCCATCTTATTTATTATGCTGAGTTGAACAGCTTCTGGGTATTGTTTGTAGTTGGTGTCTTGACCTTGATCTCTTTTTGCCTTAAGATTAAAAGAGAAAACATATTCCTTGTGGCCGTTCCTTCTGGATGAACAAAAGAAGTACCAGAATCCTCTGTATAGTCCAGATTTTTCTCCAGAGCTAACTCTTTTGGAGCCTAATACAGTGTCATTCAATTTTAAGTAAGTTTGAATTATATACAATATCTTGCCTTCGAATTTGTTTTTATCTTGCATAGTTAAAACTATCCGTTATGTGCAGGTTTTGGAGAAATATGTACCACCAGTTTGATCGAAGTATGCATCCCAGGCAATCTGTGTATGATCTTATCATGAACATGAGTGAACAAAATAAACAGCTGGAGAAAGACATAAAAGAACTGGAAGCTGTGAGTATTGCAAAATAAGTGTATTTACTTGTGATTTGTTCCACAAATTCATGTGCAAAGCCTGTAAAAATGCTTCTAGCTTTCATATGAATGCCTTTATTGTATGGCCTACCGCTTGTTCTGCAGTGTTCAATTCACCTTTCACTGTGTTCTGTGCTGAATGCTAGGCTATGCAGCTGACATTCTGCTCTTAAATATAACTTATTTTGCCTTACCCAAGAATTATTTCTCCTACAAAAGCACTACTGTAGATAGGTCTCATCTGCTTTCTACATCTTTCTAACACCTTTCAGTGTATTCCTGCATCTGAACAAACTGGCTCGGTATTTTTCAGATCTGAAGGAAAAGTCGTCATAAGGACATAAGGGCACTGAGTTGTCTGTAAGAGTTCTTGTTTGCTGTAAACTTCTTCCTTGCTAGTACCACTGAGGCCTCTGTCTGTACTCCAGAACATACTCCTATTGTGATAGTCCCAGATAAGGGACAAGCATGAAAGTCTTTACTTCTCTATAGACTAACAAGCAACCTTCTGCTCAGCAGCATATTTTTTAAGCATGTAGTGCTTGTAGCATCTGTTGTGAACTGTGGAAAAAACGTTGGCTTACCCAGTGGCCTAATGCTTATTAGATACCCCAGACTAAATGTGTAAAAGTATTAAAGGAAATAACAATCTGAGTTGGCCAGAAAAAAAATGGGTTCTCTTTCATTCAAAGCAAAACATCAGTAAAGCAGTGATGCTCACTTCATTATTTTCCGTATTTCAGAAAATAAAGCAGAAAAATGGTCAACCAGATGCAGTCCTTCTGAAAGAACATCAGCAGTCTGCTCATCCTGCACCTGTGGCACTGAAAACCCCTCCATGTTTCAAGAAGGAGCAGCCACTGATCCCTGTGAATGATGCTGTAAGAACTATAGAGGGCAGCAACACAGCGGACAATCGCTACAGTGAATTCATGGAAGAGTTTTCAAAAGCTGAGCCTGCTGTTGTCAGTTTAGAGTATGGAGTGGCCAGGATGACCTGTTGAAATCTGGCACGGCGCTTCTCTCTTCCAGCCTGGCTGAATTAAGACATTTTGAGGATAGGTCTGTGCTGCATGACCAAAACATGATTTGTATATTGGCAAGTTTTGTTAATGTAGACTAGAACAGCATGCTAATTGTCAGGTGTTTGCTGTTCTTATATATATATGTATACATATAAAAAAAAAATTAGTTGTATTTTAAAAGAAATAAGGGCATTTGGTAAGTAGTGACTAAGAATTGAGGAGAGGTATGTCTTTGGACTTCGGGTTGGTTTGCACTAAATTAAAACAGTAATCTTTATTCATTATAGGAAAACACAGGTGGTCTTTCACATTGATTTTATTTGGGCAAGAAAACTTGAACTTTGTATTTTGGGGACTGAAGCTACAAGTGTATATATATATTGCATATAATACAAATATGTATGCCCTTGTTATATGTCACCCAGTACTAATTTTCAATGTATTAAGTGCCATGGGAAAAGTATTTAAAAACATTAATTGTTGGCCTTAAACCTGTTGATCAGTAATATTGGTGTTCATGACTACTGCACTCTGTAAACTAACTGTTTACTTTGTATTTGTTCAAATTGTTTTCCTTAAAACAAGACTGAATACAGGGAATGAAGAATGCCTAAGCTGGCACAGCTTTTCAGCAAATTGCTATTTGAATGTCAACCTATTACTGAAGACTGTTCTTTCTTCCGGTTCCTCTGTTTAAAATATAATAGAGAGCAAAATCAGGCCAATCTAGTAGCTCAGTAGATTTGAGCATAATTGGAAGTATACGTTGTCTGATCTTAAGTGCTTTGATTTGTGGTAAGGTATATAAGTAGAATAAAGAGTAAAACACACAAGAAAAAAATTAGCCAATATCTGAACGGAACTTGACTATTCAGATTATTTAATTGCATGCTGGGCAGTTGTTTCAGTTCCAAGAATGGAAGCAGAAGTTTGAAAGTAGTCTACTGACATTGTTCCTGAGTACAACAAAAGTCTTTAATTTGTCTGGAGCTCATAAGAAACTGAGTGCCTCCTAAATCTTTCTCTGGGAGAAAAACTTCATAATTAGTGAAGCCTCCCTCTTATCTTATAAAAACTTGTCCAACCTGTGCATTTTAAAAATCTTCTAAGTGTAGTGAAACCTGTAACTATATAATGTAACTACATAAAATCTTAATCTAGCAGGATACAGTAGAAATTCTGACATAAGTTTATATAATGTAGATTTCCATGTTTGTAGCCTCCTAGTAAGGGAGAAGGTTTTTGTCAACTTCTATCTCATGACATTTTCTGAGCAGGTAACAGAAATATTCATATTTGGGTATTAAGATCCCTAGGTATGCTGTTAGATTAATGCTACTAGCTTTTTATCTTCGGATTTAAATCCTTTTTGGTTATAAGTGAAAATGAGTTTATTCCTATCCTGATCCCTAAAGTCTGTTTTGTTAAAATCAGTGGTCTGTGCCCCACATAACTTGACATAATTGGCAGTGTTTCCCTCCACATCAAATTAGATCCAGTACTTTATTAAGGCCAATATACGTCATGATCAAGTTGCACTTGCAAAGTTTTATGGGTGAAGTTAACTGTGACCCCTGTATTTGGTGAGTATAATTCACTATTTCGTTTGCTTAAAGCCTATAAATGTAAATAAATGTTCATAAGTCTTTTTATTCTTGAAGAGAGAGTATCATCTTTAAAATACATTACCCAGTCATTTAAACATGGTTAATTTTTTTCCACTACAAGTTTTGACTGAGTTTCACATTTGCAATTTGCACAGTGGTGCCTTACAGGGTTGCAGCAAGAGAGGGTTTTGTGCCTTGTTATTTGTTGTCTACCCATCACCTCCTGTATCAAACTGGTTCTGTGGTTTTCCTTTGAAAAACATCTTGTATTATTAAGCTTGTGTTGCATCTCACTATGGAAACAAACATCATTGACAATATAGGCAAGTGTTATTGGTTTGTACTTGTTTGTTTTAATATTTAGCTGCTCTGGTGTGCCATGTACATTTTTCATATTTATTGTTTAGAGTTTATGGACTCAAAAGATTATATTAAGCTTTTTTTGCAAATATTGTTGTATGTGTTTTTTACTTTAAGAACCAAGTACCCTTGTATATAAGGCTTTTTAAAAGATGGTTCCCTTTCAGGACTGCTGAAGTGATCTTAATTCAGTCTTTGGGCCCCTTCTATTGGAAGAGTTCACTCAGATAAGAGAGTTGGGATGCCTTTCAATTTTAAATCAAGGCATGTTAGGTCAGCTTTAAAGTGCTGTAAAATTATCTGCTTGGGCATAAAACCTACTTTGTTTAAAAAAAAAAAAACAACACTTCCTGATTGAAATTAATTACTTTGCTGTGGTCAGTATGTGAATAGTTTTATGAGGCCGATGCATGGAGCAGCCTTACAAAGTCCAGACAGGTTTGCCAATTCAGCCCTCGGTCACCAGTGAGAAACATTCCTGCAGAGAGGCAGCTGTCTGTCCTTGTTTGCTGTTTAGGCTTAAGCCAAAGCTACCTTAAAGCACATGGGACCTGTGGTGAGGTAAATAGATAGGTAGCACAGTGAGCTCCAACACAAGGCTTGGCAGGACAGCCAGCACTCAGCTCAGTGGGACTGTTCTCTGTCCTTTGAGAAGCTGACTAAAAAGATGTGGCAGGAGCCTTCTGGGAGGAGAAAGAATTCTGAGTCATAATTCTGATTCAGAGTTCAGTGGATGAACTTTATCACAGGCATGCTGCTTCAAGAGCAATTACAGTATCAAAAGGTGCCAGTACCACTCAAAAAAAAAGTTCAGAATTCTTTCTAATTCTTTTTCTTCCTAGCTGTGGCTCTTGCAGCTGGTGCACTGTCCAGGTGGTTGGGAGTATAAAGTAGAAACTTGCTATAATTAGTTATTTCATTGTTTCCAAGACCTGAAGCACAGAATTGGCAGGTGCCAGTTCTGAAAAGGTCTAGAAAAAGTCTGGGTTCCTAAGTTTTGTGCATTGCACTGTAGGGGAAAAATTATCACCTTCAATTAACAAAGCTGATAGTCTCACCTGAGCAATTAAAGCAGTTTTCACATTGTACTCCAAGCAATTTGAAATAGTTATTTCACTAGTATAGGAAGAGTTGGGTTTATTTTTAGGTGGTTAGCTATTGTCATGATGTATTCTTTTAATACAAGTTTAAATATCCGAGCGTTCTGTTTTGTAGGACAACGGCCAAATCAACAGACTAAGAAATTAATTAAGCAATGCTGAACTGAGCCTGAATTTTCCACACATCTAATTACAAGTGACCTAAATCTAGAGCAAAAGCCTGAAGTCTAGAGTCCATTTAGAGAACTGGAACAGCAGTCCTTCCATAAAACTGCACATCTCTACCGTAATGTGGAACAAATGTCTGAATATAATGTTTTTGGGGGAAAGCTATTACAAATCAAACTGCGACAGTTCGATGTATTTCTTACTCATTGTGAGCACACTGGAAAATGCCTTGCAGGGAAAGAGAATGTGTTCTTTCTCTGTAGCTGCTGCTTTCCTAAGGCCTTTTGATGAGGAGTAATGCTTCGGCAGAGCTCTGGGAACTTGCTGCTCCTATTCTGGTAAAGCAAGCACATAATGGATGCGCAGAGTTGTTGTGGCTCCTGAGCTCCCTTACAAAAGAAGGGAAGTAGGGCTGTGAGTAGCTTGGCTTAACTACTAACCCCTTGAGGAAGTTACATAAATAATACAAAGAAATTCTGTGTTGAAACAGCACAGGGCCTGTGCTGTTAGCACCTGCTCTTTGAAGACCTGCCCTGCTACTGAACAAGTGGGGCTGGTGTGAGATCCTCACCTAACTCACGTAAAAACCGTGATTGGTAAGAGCCATGATTGCTTTGTAGTTTATAGATGATCTGATCTCAAACTCGATCATTCCTCCTTGGTGGTAGTTTATTCAACTTTAGGTAAGGGTCAGAACCTGGAAGTTGCTCTTGGAACTGTTGGCAAGGAAATACAGAGTTTGGAGCCTATAGCTGATCACAGACTTGTGTATAGTGGCTGTGAAACCTACTTTACCCTTTGGGACTAGATTTTTACACCTGGCTGGTCTACTTTGACTCAATTTCACCCTTTATGCCATGCTTTCCTCCAGGTGTTGCTTATTGTGGTGCTTGATGTGCCTTTCAGGTGTTACAGACTACTTAATGCTTTGGTTGTTTCAAAAACCTGGAAGTACTGCAGTTTTCGACTATTCTGAGGGCTTGGTTCAGCCTCAGTGAACAGCATGGGTGTGCTTACATTTAATCTAGCTGCCTTGACCTGCCTACATGGTAAATAGCATTGAAAATCAGCACAGCATCTTAATTCAGTGGTGCAACTTCTGAAGGCACAATAGGCTGAGGAGAAGGATGTAGTCAGGGCCCTGGTCACAGCATGCAGCAAGGAGCAGGACCCTGCTGGGATGTCGCTCATAAAAAGCAGGAGCAGCAGAGCTGTTTCCATGCTCAGGGAAGGCATGAGGTGGAAGGTCGGAAGCTTGCTTCTCCATTAGCCTCTAGGTTAGGGAGAACTCAAAGAGCTATTCTATTAAACACTTGAGGCCGAGCAATTCTGCACCGACATCAAACAATAGAATAGATATAGATCTGTGTTTTTTTAACCTACTGGCTTCTAGTACTAAGTGTCCTGGTGGTGACTTTGAAATTGGGGTGCAATATTCCGTTTCATCTTGTTTATGGTTTACCTGTTGGGGTCAGTTATACCGTTTATAATTAAGTGGGCTTATGTTTTTTGGCATATACTCTAAAAGTCTTTCCCATTTTAACAACAAGGTTGGCATGTACATATCTTGTGCTCTGCAGATGTCCCTGCTGAAGGCTTTTCTTGCAAGTAGGTAGTCTTGGTAAAGTGCCTGCCAGGCTGCCCCACAACAGCATTCCTAGTTACCTAGCGTTACATTTAGACCCAGACTGGCTTGCTTTGCCTTACTGTTACTCTTCAATCTTACAGTTTATCTTTACAAGCTGGCTGTCAGTAATGTCCCTTGACAAACAAACATCTTTCCATCAAAGAAAACGGGTTTGTTTTTTTCTGGCTCTCAGGGATTTCTACCCCTGAACTAGTGAACTTTGAAAAATATTGCTTATTTTCCCTTTCAGGGCTTCTGAGTGCCTCTTGACTTCCACAGTCAGTCTACTTATTGCATTTTAACTTCAGACCTGGCTATTTAAAAATAATAATAATAAAAATCATTTAAACGCTGGATGTGGCAAAGGGAAAGAAAACAGTCTTTGTTGTAATGTGTCTGGGAAGACTGGCTGTCTAAACCCATTTATTGCTCCATGTGATGCTTTCTGTAAGAGTCACTTATCTGTGTGCTGGGATTACGCTTGATGTATATTCATGGAAAAACTTCAGTAAATGGAATTTTGTAATGAGTATTTTATTTGTACATGTTTTGAAAAGCTATGAAGCTTAAAATAAAATGATCTTAATATTGCCAATCTAATTGGGCATTAAATAGTCCATTTATAATGGTGGGTAAACTTTGGATCTATTGAATAAAAAATTAATTTTGTGGGTGAAACACCTGGTACAGACTAGAAAATATGGAAGTGACTCATCCTATTTATTAGTTCCCTGAATTATCCTGTAACCTTTAGGTATGGGAGACTGGCACAGCTTCCTTCTGTGTTATTGACTGTATGCTGCTGCTCTGTTCATTGCAAACACTCTTCTGTGCTTAACTTAAACGGTAGGAGAGCTTTACACATCTACTCAGTGTTACCATTACTCTGTATTTGGTAATCCAGATTAGTGTTTTCAACTATGTCCAGCAATTCAGAGTACTAAATAGGCTGATGCTTTCAGAAAATCATTCCTATCTTCTCGATGGCTTTTTCAATTGAGTATTGAATGTTATTTTCATTAAATCTCTGAGGCTTTCAGGGACTGTACACTGATACTGTTCATTTAGCAATGATAGCAAGTGATTTTTGTCATGGTAATAAAGCTCGTCCTAATTACTTGCTGTTAAACATTAGTAGAGCTTCTTGCAGCAGCATTTTATTCATATTTCCTTATAATTCATATATTTAACCCATCTTGATCTGCACTGACAACATGTTTTCTGTTCATAGATGTAAACTAATGTACTGAAGTGTTGGACAATGCGATGCATATACAACGTTGTCATCTTTGTTACAGATTGGGACCCTCCTGCTGTGGCTAGATGCAATTTACAGGGCTCTCAGTCTGTTGGAGGGTTGTTCGAGCAGCTTCACAGGCAGGCTGTACGCTGGAGCTAAACTGCAAGAGAATCAGGATAGTACTATTAAAAGGAAATGTCAAAACTCCTGCAAGCCACAGCAGTACATCTTAACCACATGCCACAACGATCCTAACATCTGTCAGCTGGGTTCTGTCTCCAGCGGCAGTAGCTGCTACATGAAGTGCATCAGCGCGTTCATCCGTGTGCGCTTCGAGGGTGGGGATGCTTCTCAATACGGTGAACATGCACGGTTTCATAGGGGCATATATGAGTGGTGGGAAGAGCAAAGTTTAAATTCAGTTCTTAGTGTAGTCTAGTGGCTGGTTAATTTGATCTGCTGACTTAGTCCAAGGAGTATTTCTTGCCTCACCTGCCTGAACGTAGGCAGGTTGTGGTTACAGACATCACCTGGAATAGCCTTGTTAAACCTGAGTAGACAAGCTATAGGAAGAATAAGCTGGCTGCAGAGTGTAATGGTTAGCAGCAAGTGGGAGGTATAAGCTCTGTAAAGGTGAAGCAGGAGATGGACTTGGCATTTGTGACCTTTGTGATGGCCACACTGGGAAGTGAGGGCTGATACTATGGTGGTTTTGAGGGTTTTGATGTTGGATGTGCTACTTTCAGAATTTGATGTAAGACCTAAAAAGATCCTAAAAACATTGCTGTTTTGGATTTGTTCCGCTCCCTGAAGTTCCTCTGTGTAAAACATTAAAGATGGCTGTGCTCTTGCAAGAACCTGTCTGGGCAGTGGACAGGCTTGTTCTCTGAATATCCAGGAGTGCAGATGTGTTCTTCAGAAATACTCATCCTTAAGAAATATTCATCAGCTCTGAGGATAGCTGCTCCAGCTAAGTCCCTCTCTGTGAAAGCACAAGACTGCTGCAGCTTCAGGTTCAGCTTGAGATGAATGTGAGAATGCTTTAATGGGGGAAACACTCCTAGTGATTGAATCTCTTTAGTTTCTAATTCTATTTCAAGCTTTTAGTAAACTCGTTTTTTAATATTATGCTGATGGAAGAAATGATTCTTAATAAGCTAAATGATTACCTTTTTGCTTGCTGGAATTTGCATGTGCATGATCTAATGGTTTTAGGTTATTTGATGACATGCGAGTGTCCCATTAGTCCACAATATATTCAAGAGGTAAAAGTGTGATTACCACAACAGCATAATAAATGTGACTTTTTTTTTCTCTTCAATGTGCTAAGGACAACATAAAAGCAGGAAATAGGCTCCAGTTGATATTATATCATTTATCTGAATGACTTTTAAATGCCTATTGTGGGTGCAGGAAATATCAAAGGAGGCTATCGACTATAGCCTCCTAAAGGAGGCTATTGTGAAGCATACTGAAAAGTGTTGGTTTGTAGAAGAAAAACGATTGTTTATGCAATCTTCCTGCCTTTAAGGAGGAGTGTGTTTATGAAATAGAAAATAATTTAAATCCTGATGTCAATGCAGCTAGAATGACCCAGAGGAGGGCAGATAGTAGGGTTGCAAAAGAAGTGCAAAAACTCTTAGTGCTTGGTGTAGAGTTTCATCTAGGCAAAGCTCGGTAAGAATTAACTTATTGGTTATTTTTAAGAAGTCACAGTGAATTGGCTTTGGATGGGAAGCGTACGACGTGCCAGGAGAATGTGAAAGGCAAGCATGGAGTATGACTGGAACCACCAATGTAACCATCACTATGAATTTTGTTAAATATGATGCAGAGGGAAGAACACTGATCTTTCAGTGGCTATAAATAAAAATAGGAGGCTGAACTGAGCTCTAATTCCTTTGCTGCTTCTTACCTCCCATAGCAGACAAGTCCATCCACAGTGCCAAAAGACAGCCTGGGAGAGGAGCGATAACTGGTATCTGGGTATTTGCTGATATGAACCAAGAAAATGGAAACAACTGCTTCCCAAGCAGAGATCATGTGGAGGAGATTGCATGCTAAGCACAGATCACAAGGCTGTGAAAGAATGAGTTTCTACTTACAGACTGTTGCAGCAGAAAGGCTGGTCAGCTGGAGTTCAGCAGTGGGGAAAGGATTAGGGTTAGCAGTAAGAACTAATTTCATTTATTAGTGTTTAAGGTAACGTATGGAGAACTTAAACTATTTATATAACTCTATCATGGAGTTATATATAGCCCTAAAAATTTGAATTCCTGGGTTTTAATTTGGCTTGTTCTACTTAAAGATAAGAATCCATATGTAAGTTTGACTTTGCTTTCCTAAACTCTTGCCAAAAATTTAAAGACTACAAACTGGCATAGACTGCTCTCTTCTCTGCAGCTTTGCACTGAATCCTCTATACTCTATTGGGGTTGATGTTCTTGTGGCTATTCAGTTTCTGATCAGCTCTATTTTCTTGCTTCTCTCTCCTATTCCTCATGTTCAGTCGGACCACAAGGCAACTGAGGCAGAGGAGAGCTACTTGTACGTAGCTGCGGAGATCAGCCAAGGGACAGGGGGTTGCTACCGAGCTGCTCATCTCAGTAACAGCTATTCAAGCCAGCAAGGTAGAAAAATACCATTTGGGATCCCCAGCAATAGCACACCACGCTTGTCCCGAGCTGCAGAACAGTGCAGTAATTACAGCAGGTCTGCGGAAGAGCTAATGACCTGACCCCGTTCTGAAAAGCACCATTAGCCGGGCTCTGCCAAGTGCTCCGAGAGCAGCACTCGAGGAGGTGAAGTGTGGTGCTCTGTCATTACGAGGATTAGGGAGAGCTGTTCTGATTTACTGCAAATAAAAGGAGTTCTGAAACTGTGCTGCTTGCTTCCAGCCTGTTGCTTTGTAGGGTTATTATTTTAACAGGTAATGGGGTACCCTTAGTGTTAGTTACACAGGCACACGCCGATTGTGGATGTGCTCCTAGGAAGGCTTTAGAAACTGGGAAGGTTTCAGAAATTGGTGATCACAGCCTAGAAAGAGTTAGGGCATCTCAGTTCTTACGAGGTCATGGGAATTTGGTTTTTAGGAAGAGTTTGGACCATTAAGCAGAACTACAGTTGTGCCCCTGGGTGAAGCTCTTCCAGCTCCAGAGACTGTGGGGCTCACTATTAAGCTGTGTTTACTTTCTCTGTTTTTTCTGGGTGTTTTTCTCTGAGTTTTCCCCACTTAATGGATAACAAATATTTTGTATTCAGCTCCAAAATACAGCATAATTTGTAGAAGGAAAGATAAAATTCAAGATGCTCCTGTACCTGTTGTAGTAGTTTAAAACTGGTAGCACTTCATGTAAAACATCTTTTTATCCAAATGATTTTAAGACAGGAAGGAAGGAAAGATGTTTTTGTCTTAATTATGAAAATAATAGTGGGTGTTTGGTGTCATTTTTAATACTTTCCTTTGTAGTGAATTCACACTCTCCTAAAGGGGGTTAGTGAGACTTCTCTGAAGCCATTGTACTGAATGCTGTGACCTCAACATTTGCCCTTTTCCATTAGGAAGGGGATGATTTCCTGCATGCAAAGATATATTTTATTTTTTTTAATTTTTATTTTTCCCAAATGATCCATCAATCCATTGTGTTGAAGATGTTCCTACCTGGTTGCTTTGCAAACACAGTAACTCCACCTGGGTGAAGGAAGTGATATATTCAAAATATCTTGCTTTTTCCTTTTTTTTTTTTTTTTCCTACTTTGTTTTGAAATATTTTATTAGTATCCATCAAAGAATGTAATCTGATAGTGCCATGTACTCCACAATGCTTTAATTGCACGTTCTGGAGATGTGAGTCTTCAAATGTATTGAAGTTTAAGAAAGAGGGAGCTGTCAAGCCTTTGTACTCGGGTTCATATTAACAAACCAGACTAAGCCTCATTTCACTTTTAAATTTTCATTGGGGGTGAAAGGCTGAGCACAGAAGTGCCTTACCAGCACACCCATCCAGCTGCTTACTCCTCCCTGGGGACTCTGCCTCTCTGGGCACTGGAGCTAAGCAGAAGAGAAGCGTGGGTGGGAGGAGGCAGCCTCTGCAGGGGATGTAAAACTGCATTCAGTGTGTTTGTTTTTGAAAGAGGATAAAAATTCTATCGAATCTAAATATAGCTTGTTACTAGAATATGCCCTACGACAGTCTTTATGGTGATTCGCAAATTGAAATACTGGCTACGGTTAATCTGAGCTTGAGAGGCAGCTCTCAGCAGTGTTTAGTTCCTTCATTTTAGTGCCATTCAAATGCCAGCGTAATTGGAGGCACGGACTCACTCTTGTCATTGCAGGATGAGCTTTCATGTGCCATCT